CCCCTTAATCTATATTAGATTCTAATAATGTTTACAAAGACAGAAATGCCCTTACTTAAGTGTGGGGCAGAGTAACTCTAATAACACTGCCACATAAGCAAGTTACTTAACAAACAGAAGAAGACTAAACTACCCCTATTCGGCACATCTTAACAGACAAGAATGGAAAAAAAAAAAACAATTTGTTATTACTTTAAAGGATATCTAACACCACTGTCATTCTGCTAGCTCCTCAAGCTAATGAATCAGAAAGTGTGGCAAGATTGTGGTACCCGTTAGAATGGTCTTTAAAACCCCCTCTACAATCAGTTCCTAGAACCAAAAAGACTTGCAAATTTCAGACCATGAAGGTCTGAAGTGCAGCTTGAAGTTCTGCCCATATGGAATTGCCCAATACTATTAGGCCAAAATACAACGACAATCTGATGTCTCCAATGTCTCTCAAAGCACTACCTATTGCTGATTCACCAGGATTCACAGGGCTGCCATCAAAATAGCTTCAATTTACCAACCAAAAACAAAAAAGAAGAGTTCCACCTACAACCAGAGAGAGAGAAGATCCCCTCCCAAATACTTGAAACAAAAGAGCAGAAGATTAGCAAATTGTAAGTTGATTGGAAATAAGAAAGACGTGTGAGGACAAGTACCAATGGGTCTCCTCATTTGTAAGGTTTCATAAGCATTAATTTTCTCATGAAAGGGTAGTAAACTAAAAGAGAAGGGGAAACAGAAAGAACATTGAAGAAAGCGGCAGAAAAACAAAAAATAAAACTAAAGGAAATAGGAACTTAAAATATGGCAATCAGAAACAAACAAATCTAACTAACCACCTCCCATGTAATTAACAAGTCAATGAGAACCAAGGATTCATGGTCCCAAAGGCCTTTCCTAAAGCCAAAACCCCAAGCAAACCCACATGGAGATATGGGGAAAAACTTAGAAACAATATCTGATTTGTAAGATGACAAGGAGTAAAGAACAAGGAATAGAGCCTTTAAGGCAACACCACCGACCACCCATAAATCCTCCCAAATTTTGGTCTTATTTCCAGAACCCACTCATAACAAGAGAATTTCATAACAATAACAAAAGGTAGTGTGTTTCCTTCCAAGGAGATGCCAAAGTTGCTCTTGTACATGTTCTAGTGTGGCCATTTTCTTTTAAACAATAGATGCTAAACACCACTTTGTGCCACAATTTCTCTGGTTCCAGTTGTATTGGGTTTTCATCTTGCCACTTGCCAGTATATGGGGAGATTGTAGTAAGAGAGCATTGGCTTTTCACCTTTCATTTCATCATTAACAAAACTATGTTAATCTTGTGATTGATCACAAAAATAAATTCAGGCCTTACAACTGAGGGAAAGAATTTGTTTGGTGGATAATGTTTTTCCTCTATTTGCCAGATTTAAAGACAGAAAAAGCCAACCTAGCCTGCTTGTTTTCCAATACAGAATTCCATACAAACACATGATAAAAGAAATCAAAGGCTTCACTCTTTATTGAACTTCCATAATATAAGATAACATTTTTGAAAGTGTAAATGTATGTTTTCAGGTTGCAGTAAATGATGACATACCATCTGCAATAAGCAATTTTTTCTCTTTTTGAAAATAACAGAAAATTTTCATTAAAATAAAAGAAACATTACAGTCTTGTGTTGAGAGGACACCAATGACAGAACATTCTCAAAATTACATTCCTGAATTTCATTAAATTTTAAATTTTTTCATTGCTTACTCCTTAGAAAACCTCTCTTCAAGTGTATAGAAACACTTGTAAAGAGAAACCAAGTGTGCTACTTCTGGTTCCTGATCCTATTCAACTGTGTGCTTTTTGACTCAAGAAGTTTTAATAGTTTACCTGACAAAGGTAAAACCATAAAGCAGAAAATTTATACCAGGAGGAAGAATCAATCATCTTAGAAACTTATGCAGAGTTCAACCCCAAGCAATAATGATCTTATTGATCCTTTTACTTGGCCATATTAGCTTTTATACTTCAGCTCCTATCTTCTGGTGACTGATAATCATGGTCTTATTATTGATAACAATAAATTTCCTACTGCATATATAAAGAGAAACATACTTGTACTATTATTCTAATTCGCATTGTATTTCCCCTCAAGTCATTGTCTCCTCATCACAACCTAAGGAGAGAAATGCTATGTGTAAGAAAATGGCGGTGCCAACTCACACAACTGGAATGTAGTTCCCACTAAGTAGGTGAGAAGACATTCTATGGAATGAAAACAGTCTACTGAAGCTTGGTTTTAGATGTTTTTAAGTGTTATGAAGAGTGTTGTCTATATGCATAGTCAAGCAGACCATAAAATGTGTAAAGCGCCCACCAAAAGCCTCTATGAAGTTGGTTGTTCACATTAATTGTCTCACCATCATAGGCAACATTCAAATGAAATTCAAAGGCTCAAGTCCTTGGCAGTGAAGTTTTAATTAATAACCTGGGAGAAGTAAATTGTTTTCTGGGTCATATTTATTTATCAAAAGAAATACATTTTAGATTTTATTAAACAAACATGGAGTCTAAGATTCAAGCTAGCTGATACCCCAATAGAGCAGAATCATCATTTGGGCATCAGCATGTATAGCATCTTACTGATTCAAGCCAGTTTAAGAAATTAGTAGAGGACCTGATGTATCTTACTTCTTGTGTCCTCAACCCTCATTAATTATCACATATCTCATCAATCAATTTATGCATTCACCTAGAAATGGTATATTTAGAATCAGCACAAAAGACAAATCAGGTATTTGAAACCGTCACATGGGAAGATACTTTGTTTCCTAAGCATGGACATTTGTAAGTTGAGACATAATGCAGACTGTGTAGGATCTGTAATAAAACTAGGAGTGTAAAACGGATCGAATTCGAATTGGATCAAGCAATATCCGAATTCGAATCCAATTAGAAAATTTGATATCCGACAGATATTAAAAATTAATATACAAATTCAAATCCGATTAAATATTCGAATATTCGATTTGATTCGAATTCGACTAATTAATTATTTTAGGTAATTAATAAATATTTTATTCATATAAAGTACATAAATATATAAATTATTTATATAATTTAATTATTATATATATAAATTATATAAGACATTTAAATATTTTATATATTATATATAATAATTAAATAATCGGTCGAATTCGGTTATTTATTGAATTGAATCAGGTCATATCCGAATTCGAAACCAATTAACTATTTGGTATGAATAGGATATCCGAATTTGACCGATTAGATATTCGAATTATCCGACTTCGATTCGATTATGTCGAATCTCGAATTCGAAATCGGATTTTCAAATACCATTGACACCCCTTAATAAAACACAGGTCTACCTCTTGCTATTGTGTACTCTTGGAAGGTAACCTAATTACTTGGATAAGCAAGTGGAATCCATGTCTGCAGAGCCATAATTCAGTTTTAAGTCTTGTGTGTTTGCAAGACATGGCTCAACTAAACTTGTTGCAATCAGAATTAAGCTTCAATACTTCTGGATCCATGAGTTTGTATTTGATTACAAGGCCATTATTAGCATTCCTGACAATCCTATTCAGCATTATTGCACAAAACATATAAAAGTTGATAGCCACTTTATTAAGGAAAAACTAACTTCTGCAAGTTGTTCACCACATGATGCTCCCAATTATATCTAGCAGATATTCTTACAAGAATTTTTTCTATTGATAACCTTGGCTTTGTATTGCTTCTATAGGCATATCCCCTAACATTGTTGTTCTTGGTGTCTTATGTGAAAAGCAGGAAAGGAGAAAATAGGAGGAGGAGATTTTGACATAAATAGGATAAGAATCAATCTTGGATCTACTGCCCTTGTCGGTAACTTAAATATTAGAATGCTACAATTACAATATTGCCCTTTAAAAGGTGTCACTTAATCAGCCCAACTACAAAGTCTAAATTTCCCTTAGGACCACTAGATCATCTCAACAAGAATATTAACAATATTTCTCTTGCTGGATCATGTAACGTGCAAGTAAATAATAACAAATTGTTGCTACCAAAAGATCAATTAAAAAAGCTTCACCAATAGGAGAAAAGCATAACATACTTCCCAAAAGTTTAGCATTGGATCCACAATGTATAAGAGTTCTGGTTTGAGAAATCTGCAACATGGATAGAAAACTTATGACCAAAAGTAGGAATATAAATATTTGATACATTTGGGGGTTGATCACTTACCTATGTTCAGCAATACTTCTAAGCTCATTTGGTTCACACACAGATGGCACCCATATCTCAGTAAATCGGTTCCGTAGGGCTGGGGATAGCTCCTTCTTCCCATAATCACCACCAGGATTCATAGTTGCAAGAAGGAAAAACTTTGGATGAGCTGTTATTTTCTCCATAATGGACCCCCCTTTCTCTGCCAAAGACTGAACAAAAGCAACAAAGTGAGGAGAACAAGAAGAAATAACAACAATCTTGATTGCCATAGTAGTATTAGTGGGTAGTAAAATAATTTGGAGAGAGATACATGATTTATAGAAATAAACGAAAGAAATGAACAACTATTGGCAATTTTAGAGAGAATTCACAGCTCACCATACCAATAGATAAAAGACCATAAACAAAAGAGGATTGATGCCTAAAGGCTCTTTGACAAAAGTTGAGGAAAAAAAAGCCATAATACAGATAGCTACTTTTTGTTTCCTCTCGTACAAGGCAGCCAAATCTTCATTACATACCCATCATTTTTTTATCAGTATATATGCCCACCAATTTGCCCAACATAGAAATTAGAAACATCATAGCTAAAGCAATATCACAAAAATTGAAATAAATATAAATAAAACAAAAATAAAATGCAAAAAAGACTAGGTTTTCTGACTAGCATCATTTCATAATTTTCACAAGAAAAATAGTCATAATTATTTGCATTCTGCAATTCTGAATGATCCTGCTCGTATTATTACATCCTGGCCACTAAGCTAGCCATTGTTTATTCAAAATTTGCCCTAATATCAAAAAGTAACAAGTTTTATTTTATTATACAAAGGTCCAAATATATAAACATGTCTTGAACACTAACAAATAACCACATCCCCCAAGTACAATCAGAATTTTTTAACGGTAATAAAAACTGAAAATAAAAACATATCTCAAAACAAGAAGATCAACCCACCAATTTTCTTTCAGGTTCCAAGACGCTGTTTAATCTTTCAAGCACACTATCATCAGCCAAAGATATCTCATCCACAAGAAGTAGATCTCCATCCTTCATTGCTCGTACAAGAGGTCCATCCTGCCACATAAATATGGTCTGCCACTTCTGGGATAGCTCAACTAGGTCCAGTTTCACTTGCTCGAGGTTATCAAGATCCTGCATAGTGACGTCAGGGTGTGAAACCACACCTTGTCTATAACTATCTATAATTCTTGTCAGATGATCAAGAGTTGAAGAAGCTTGGACAATGTCTGTAGATATAATCTGCATTGAGAGAAATGCATAAGCATACATAAAGCATCAAGCAAGTAAAAGAACCTCATTCAAGGAAATATTGACATGGCCAGGATAATACATACACTGTCACCAGGAAAGTGGAGAAAAGCCTTTGACAATATCAGTTTTTCAACCAAATATTTGAACTCTCCTGTTAATCTTGACCTATCTCGTACAGGATAAAACCCCTGAAATTTTTATGATGGTTAACTTGTAGATTATCATATTCTAACAGCAATAAGCAATGAGAAGTTTTCAGAACAGAAACCACTAAAATGTAATCCCTCAATAAAGAAAATCTGTAAAAGAAAGAAACAAACCCCAAGAAAATCAGATGTCTCCGTGTACTGATGGCAATTCAAAATATGCAATTTTAACTTTAAAACAATGCTAAGTAACTGACAAACAGTTGTCTTCCCACCACCAGTCTCTCCAACAAGAAGGACAGGCTCACGCAACTTGAAGCAACGCTCAACAAGAAAATATAACCTCCACATGCTTCTAGTCCACATGATACTGCAATGAAGTAGGTTCATCAATGAGAATAGATAACTACAACCCAGCAAACACTTATCATAGTTCAGCTTACAAGTTTACAAAATCATACTTTCCAAGACTCTCTGACACTTCTGAGCATTCACTGAAGTTTAAAACAGCAAGACTATCAGCTGGTTCCTGAATTATAGAAGGTTAAACAGTTAGCAAAGTTTACACACAAATATAAAATTCCCATCAGCTTCATAAAAGGAAAAAAAAAATTACCAAAAATGAATTCAAGTAGCACATTGACTTCCAGATAACAAAGATTCATATTTGCTATGATGATTCATGAAATGTATCCAATTACCACCTAGGAATCATTTCTATCTCAATTATTCCAGACTCCTAAAGAGAGAGGACAAATGAAACCATAGAAGAAAAAACCTCAGAACTGATGAGTGATGACATCCCTTATAACCAATGATCCAAACTCTAACAGAAGCAGTCAACATTCAACTGAACAAACATGTCCAAAGCTACATGAACAAACTGTACTTCCTTGGATTAAGATAACAAGATCAGAACTGCTAATTTACAGGATTATGCACGACGTACTTTCCTACTCCATGTTCAAATAAACAATCAACAAACAAAAATCCATCTAAAAGCACAAAAATAAAGTGTAACTGCACAATAGGGAACTCCACTTTCTGTTAAGACAATAATGAGCACAAGAGAGGGAGGGAGAGAACAAACCCGTTGGTACAAGTTGTCTGTGGCAAGTTTTACCCGAAGATGTCTCTCCAAGATCTCCTGGACAACTTTCTTCTCATTTTCATCTCGCAACCTTTCAGCCAAAAGAAAATAACCATCTTTGGCCAGATCTTCATATGAGTTACCAAAGGTCCGAAAACGATCAGCCCATCGAAACAGATCCCTTGGAGTTATGAAACCATGCTTTCCAGCAAAAACTTTGCTACTCTGGCGATGCAACTGCAAGTCCTTCATAATTTCAACCATTTTTTTAGCATAACTTTCAGGAATTTTGCACCTCCTGTCTAGTATTGTGCTCAATTCACCTTCAGGAATCTCATCAACATGTATTTCAACAAAACGGTTGCGAAATGCTCGAGAAAGCATCTTACGCCCACCATAAAAAGTTGGTGGGTTTTGGGTGGCAAAAAGCATAAAATCTGGATGAGCGATCACTGTTTCCTGCAGTTCGGGAACAAAAAGCTCTCTGTTGTCATCTAATAACCGGTTTAATGCTTCCAGAACATCCGAAGGTGCAAGGTTAAGCTCATCTAGAACAATCCAGTATCCATTCCGAACAGCCTTAACCAATACACCTTCTTGAAATACAAGCTTCCCATGAGCATCAGTAAGATACGAGCCCAAGTATTCTTGCAGATCAGTATGCTCATGGTTATTTATACGAACAAATTCATGGCCAGTTATTGCAGCAAGATACTGAACAAGGCTTGTCTTTCCACTAGAAGTTGGACCCTGTAAAAGAACAGGATATTTTTTAATCAAAATAGCACGTGCAAGATTCCTTAAATGCTCCTTGACACTTTTTGTCAGGACATAATTCTCCAAGAAAGCATCATCACTCAATTTCCCCTTATCCAAGAAGTAACCATCAAAGGGAACATTTGGAGGCATATTTCCACCTAACAAATATGATAATATCATACTGTTCATAAACTTGGAACTAGGACTATCCAGTAAAGTAAGGAAAAACATACAAAATCCATCATAAAGTGCTTTTTGGAATCCAAAGTTCCTTTCTGCCTTCTTTGTATATTCCAGTGCACGATATAGAGACCTTAAACTGAACTGGGGCTTCTGATTAGCCCCATCTTGCAGCCTCTCTTCAGATTCCTTCTTGGCTGCTTTGTAAAAACACACAATTTTATTTACCAGTTCTCTATTAGGACTGCTGTAATCCATAAATTGTTTCACAAATAGAGTTAAATCTTCATCATCTAACACATCATCAACAAAATACTCTGTAAACCTGCTTCTCAACGAATATGGCAAGTCCCTCTTTCCAGCATCAGTAGCAGGATTCATACAAGCAAAAATACGAAAATCAGGATGTCGACGAATATAATCAACATCTCCCCTTTCAGCTAAACAAATTGAACTATCATCTCCTTCCAAAACCCCTGTAATTCTCTGTAGCATCTCAGGAGGAGCCAAATTTATTTCATCAAGTAATATCCAGTGACCATTTCTAATTGCTGTCACGAATGATCCTTCCACAAACGAAAAGACCATAGCTGAAGAGCCAATCTGCCTACGTGCTGTCTCAAGTTTCACAGAAAAATGTTCCCATGCTTGGATGAGTTCTTCACTCAAAGGTCGCTTTCGCTTTGTACCAGATCGAGATCTACCAACCTCACAAACTTGCTTCCTGAAAAAACCAAGGCCTTTCTGACATCCATTTAATACCATTTTCCAGTTCCTATCAGACACATGTTTTCTCAGACGAACAAGAAAATCCCCATTGTCCTGCATACAAGCATAGAAGAGTACTGTCATATTTTGCCTCTTATCAACAAGAAAAGTAAGAAGCTATAAAGAAAAAATGCAATCAAGGTTATTATCATCCAATCATGGTGGAGGAATGGCGAAACAGGATTCATGTTGACCAATCCCATATAGTTGGCGTAAGGCTTGAATGATGATCAATCATAGTGGGGGAAAGTTGCAATTATCAAATACCAAGTCCCTCATGGAAAAAATCAAGACCACATATGGTATCACTAGTCACAACAAGATACTGCTTATAGCTAAACAACTGATAAAAGATTGCAATAACAACAATAAGAAGACAACTACAATTTCAGGATAGATGATCCCTAGTACAGTTGGCTCCTACCTTCCACATTATGGCAAATTGAAGTACAAGAGACAAGCAGAAATTCAGAAAAGGAGATTGAGTTTGGGGATGGGAATACCTTCACAGAAAAAGTCCTGGAAAACAGCTCCTCAAAATCATTATAAACAGGTATGCATATAAATCTTGGATCTGTAGGCTTAAAGCCACCCAATAAGTCTGCAATGTCACTTTGTTGGCTCAAGTTCTGCAAGACAAGCAAATTAGCATTCAGTTTCTAGTCCACATGATAAGAGTCCTGTACACAAAAGAACCATCATAATGACAAACTGCCTAGACAGCATACCAAGACTGTAAGTGATTGACCAAGCCTCGCTGCAAGATTCTGTACAAGAGTTGTTTTCCCAGTACCAGTTTCACCAACCAAAAGAACTGACTCATTGCACTTAACAGAACATGCTATCCTCTCAAGAACATGTAGTGAACTACGGATATCCACAAAAGGTTTCTTTTGGTGATGTAACTGCAGAAAACACATCAATGAAAGTCAACCAACGTCAGAAAGTAAGCAACAAATAATGTACAACAGAGTAAGTGCTTACATGTAATGCAGCTTCAGTGCATTTGAGGGTAACCCTTCCAACTTGTAAATCTGATTGCAAATCCTGTGGGGAAAAAATATTCAGATTTTTGTACTTGATGCTCATAGCACAAATGGATCAGACACAATGATTAGAAAAGACAGACACCTGAATTATGGGCTTATTAAGAGGATATAATGTTTCTGCTTCTGACATCAGTACTCCCCACATCTTTGCTATTTCTCTCATTATTAACAGTCGACTATCAGAAGAAATTGAGGAAGATGCAAAAATATCTACAGCCTGAAAAGTACAAACCCACAGTTTATTAAGTAACCAGTAGAAACAAGTAGATAGTCATCCATCACATTATCACAAGAAGGAACAAAAAGTGGAAATCAAATACAACCTCTTGATAAATGCTTTTACATTCATAAGCTGACAAGCTAAGCCCCATAAAATTAAAACCATGACCTGTGATTCTTTTGCACCATTTCAGCAGATCCCTGTAAATATAGAACCAAACATGAAAAATAATGACATCTATTGGGGTCTTATTATGCACAGAGTTGCTAGAGAGGCACTGTCTACCTTAAAGAGAACCTGCTTAAAACACCAGAAGAAGCAGGAACACCAATACATCCTCCAGGCTGGTAAGATGGAGAAGAGTTGACCTTTTCAAATGTCTCTGGCACAACAGAAATCAATTATGTAAGGATTTAATTAGTCTTGAAAGCACCAGCATATAAGAACAGCAGAGAATACCTATAAGTTTCTCAGAAATAGTCTCCAAATTTGGATACCATGCGTTCACTATATCAAACAGATCTTCACGGTTTGACAGTCCAATCATCACTCTTATCAAAAGGACACCAAAGGAGATATTGCCTGTTACTAAAAAGTACCCTTTGGTCAATAAGCAAAATACTAATGTACCAAGTGTTAACTAGCAACAATTGCTTTAATCTATCATCATAAGTTGAGCAAACTACAAACCTTCAGACCCAAATAAAAAACTGTAACAAACATGGACATAAAATATTTGACTCTCATTTCTAAGGATAGTGGCTCTGTGTTATCATAGAAGTTAAAACAACAGACCTAATAGTTCCAGATAGTCTGCATTTTTCAAAAATGTATATACTACCAAATATTTTAAAAAGTAGGTTTATTGTCAAATTACAGGCTAAAAGTATAGCTGTCAATTGTAATCAGGTGTTATCAGGTCAGACCCAATAGTCCCAATTAATAATTACATCAGTTCTGGGTTTGTTACTACAGACACATATGGAGCCCGGTTTCAAACTGATTCTGCACATTTACAATACTAAGTCAGGTCAAGCCTGACCCGAACCAAACCCAACCCCATTGACAGCACCAAATCATATCCATTTGTCCAGGCAAAGGACACTAATAAGACTGCTAGTGGAGAATTTTCTAATTCCACAGCACTCATGTTGCTTTCACAAAATAGAAAACTGGAATAAATAGCTATTCAGAGTAATGAAACTGATGAAGTGTTTTGTGTTTATTGTAAGAAACCAAAATAGGTTATAGTTGTTAAAATCCTGTCTCTAATAAATGTTTTGTTACCAGGGATTTGTCCTTTTTGAATCTTGCCTTTCTATGCTACTCGCATCTCTCTTCAGGAGGAGATTTTAGGCTAAGAGAGCAGAGTGCTTATTTCTACCTATTCTAGTACCTATGTCCAACAATTCACTTTCTACTAGTCCACTTCCTACTTACAGCTCTGACTCTAGCTCTAATATGCAGCGAAAAGATTTGCAGGTGTACATTTGTCACCAGAAAGTAGTCCCCAAAATTGATATATGACAACCATCAAATACCTTGATCCAAAGCGACTCCGGTGCTTCCCTTACAGCTCCAACACCTCCTTCTAATCATGTTCTTCCTTTTGATATCTACTTACCTGTGTTTGGTTTGATAGAAAATATGAGAGAAATAGAAAGTTCAAATTTCCTTAAGAACTTCCCCTCAACCCAACATTAAGGACACCATAAATCAGAAAATGAAGACACTAATAAACAATAAGACAAAGAGCTCATCAATCTTCCTCAGGATAAAAAGCCAGTCAGCTCTAAGTGGAACGTTATTGTGAGGTACAAAGCTATGGACCCATAGAGAGATGCAAAGCAAGGCTGATTGCGAAGGGGTATAAATAGACCTATGAGATTCACTATCAAGACATGCTCACACTGGTGACATAAATGAACTCAATCCATACTCTACTTCCTCTAGCTTCTTATTATTATTTTTTCCTCTAGCAACAAGATGTCAAAAATGCATTCTTGAATGGAGCTATCCCAAAAGTCCTAAAACAGGTGTATATATAGTTACCTCCAGGAGTTGAACTAGTTGAACAAGGATTACAAGAAAAAAGTGCGCATGCTAAAGAGGTCAATATATGGGCTGAAGCAATTGTTGGTAAAGAGGGATGATGACTACTAGACAATCATGATTAGAACAATGGCGTCATTCTGGTTACATGGAAACATCCTACTAAGATAGACAACTTAAGAAAAGCCCTGGCTTCTAAATTTGAAATTAAGGATCTAGGAATAGCTGTCAAGAGTCAAGACATAACATTGCCTATCCTGAACACCTTGATTTTCTTTCTTGAGTATATAAATTTTTATCAAAAACAATTAGGAGAAAATACAATGCCAGATGAAGAAATATCACTGAGGCAATAAGAACCCGAAGAGAGCCCATCAAAACCCCCTCCCACCTTTATCTTTGTGTTCAAATATAAAGGTCCAAATACATATCATACAAAGGTCCAAATATATAAACATGTCACACCACCTTGCACATTCAAACACCACTGACCACCCCAATAAGACTTCACAACCCTCCATTAAAAACCAAGTCCCTTTTAAACATCTCCAAATCCAAACCTATATTACTTTTTTTTCCTTTCTCTCCCTCTTCTAGCTCCAAGAAAGTTGTCCTTGCAGAGTCTTCACCTCCTATAAAGTACAAACACAACTACTCACATCTACTGCTTCCAAGTTACCCTATTGAACACCACTTTCTCATTTCTTGAACACCTTATCAATAAGTATGGTATCAACTCCATACTCAATACCCTCCTTCTTTAACCTAACCACAGTACCTACACAACCTCTGATACACATTCATGAACTTGTCAATTAATCTTGTCACATACTTCAATTTTTAAGAGTCTTCTCTTCCTCTCCTTTTCAACACCTCAACCTCTTTCCTTTGACCTCCACCCACCTCTACCTTTTCTTCCATAATGGAAGTATCACCCCCCCCCAAATCATCTCTATAAATTCCTGTTTCCCCATCCAATATACCCCTTTCTTGCCCATACTGATTCCATTTTCATATACATGACATCCTTTTCACTTCTTGACATTATTGATTTGTCAAATAACTGGAATTTAAAGCACAATCTTTTTAATTGGAAATGGTAACTTTCATTTTGTAGAGAACATTGATGCGGGCCCCACAGATGTGGTCCCACTCTGTCCGTAGGGTAGAATGTATCTAGTCACAGCTGTGGTCAATTTGTTATTCTGTTATTCCTAGTTTCAGTTTTATATTGTTTGTTATG